CCACCTGCGCCCAGCCCCACGTGAGTCTGCCTCAGTTGCTCTCCTGCTCAGCCTGGAAAGGCTTCCTGAGTGGGGCCCAGTGGAGAGAGCAAGCAGGAGGTGAGGCCGGCCCTGCCTCGGCTCCTGGTCCCGTACTGGGCCAGGAGGATGGTGAGCCAGGCCAGGTGGGTGGCTGTGGGGGCTCACAGGCACTGCCCACTTGCTGTGCCCCATTCTCACACCATCTTGGAGGCTCTGCCACAGCCACCTGGCAGAGAGGCCACACCTGGCACGTAGATGTTCAGCACTGATGATATGAGTATGAGGTGGCCCGGGGAGCTCCCTCCCGGGGTCAGAATACTCCTTCTTTTGGGGGATGGGGGTGGTTCTCTCTGAAGCTCACAGTCCTGCTTTCTCCACAGACCCCCCCGGAACCTGGACTCCCGGACCTTCATCACCATTGGAGACAGAGTAGGTGCCGGCTGTACCCCTAGGCGGGGTCTCTCACTGCACCTGACGAATGGGTCGAGCTGACCCTTCAGGGCCATTGGGAGTGGCTGTGGGTGGCGGCCAGAGTTGGCTCTGCAGAAGGGCCTCACTCCCCACATTGCTGGGCTACCCATTCTGACTCTCCTGTCTGGAACAGGGACAGTTGGCCTGCCTCATGGGGCCGTGATGTGCTCAGAGTTGGCACAGAATTTTCTGACCTCTGAGTTTGGGCCATGGGCCCCCTGTTCACCTGTGGGATACTGTGTTGAGCATGCAGACTCCTGGCCTACCTAGACCTGCTGGATCAGACCCTCAGGGCCAGTGCCCGGGAGTCTACATTTTACACACACCTCCTGATGCTTTGGGAGGGCACCAGCCATTGGGAATCCTGGCTCAGGGATCGAGTGTCACTCGTGGACATGCCGAGGTTCTCCTGGCAGTCTCTGAGGCCTCTCCTCGGGCGGCACCCCTCCTGGGCTTGTCTTCCTCTGACACTCATGCCTGATGTCTGTTCCTCGCCTTGCTGCTTCCTTTTGTGCGTGTCTCTCCGACAGAGGGAGACCCCGTGGGGCAGGGCTTTTGTTTTGTTCTCTTTGTGTCCTCAGTGCCTGGAACAGGGATGCACATGGTGCACGATCCATAGCAGTCGAATGAACGGGGCACTCTAACCAGCTGGGGCGGGGAGGGGACAGGGAAAGGGCATCTCTGGAGCTGCCTGTGCCTCTGGGGCGTTCCAGTGGCTGTGTTACGTACACTTCACACCAGCCCTTGGAGGCTGCTGCTGCCTGTTTTATAGAGGCAACGTGAGGCTCAGAGAGGTGAAGTGACTTGCCAGGCATTACACAGCAGCGAGTGGCTGGTACGAGGACGAGCCCCAATCCAACCAGTTGGTCCTCTTCTGTTTCTGCTGCCCCAGCTGTCTCCATTAGGTGAGGGATGAGGGCCAGCTCCCCACTTGGTAGCCACCGACCCTCTTTTCTGTCCCCAAGAACTTTGAGGTGGAGGCCGATGACCTGGTGGCCATCTCGGAGCTTGGCCGCGGAGCCTATGGGGTGGTGGAGAAGATGCGGCATGCCCAGAGTGGCACCATCATGGCCGTGAAGGTAAGCAGGGTCCACTGTGCCCCACCCCAGCCCTGCCAGGAAGCACCAGGGCCTGGAGGCAGCTGGGAGAGCTGCCTGGAGGAGGCATGGGCTGAGCTTACCGGTTGATTTCCCACCGTGTGGCCCTTTCCCTCACTGTGACCAGTGGTGGGTCAGAGCTTTTCAGGGCAGGCCAGGGTATGGGCCTCCAGAGCTCCTGGCCCTCATGTAACGGGTGAAGGATGCTCATCCCTGCCACGGCTGTCCCTGAACTGTAGCCCTTCCCTGCAGCGGATCCGAGCCACCGTGAACTCACAGGAGCAGAAACGGCTTCTCATGGACCTGGACATCAATATGCGCACTGTTGACTGCTTCTACACTGTCACCTTCTATGGGGCCCTCTTCAGAGAGGTACAGCCTGACGGGAGGGGGTGCTGAGCTGCTGGGTTGGGAGCTCGGCCCCAATCACCAACCCGTCTGTTGGCCAGCTGACTACTTTATGCAAGTGCTGGGTGGGGGGTCTTCCCTGCCCACCTGGGAGACAGCACGTGGGCTCTTCAGAGCACAGGCTCAGGAGCCAGACTGGCTAGCTCTTCCGCCTCCTAGCTGTTGCCACCTGCTCTGTCCTTTAGTTTCCTTGTCTGGAAAAGGAGGCCAGTGACCATGCATGCCTCTAAAAGTTGTCATCATTAAGTGATGTGGCCTGGGGCCTGGCACTCAGCAAGTGCCTCCCACTCGGCAGGCTGTCCTGAGGGACATGCAGGAGTTAAGGCCAGTGACCATGCATGCCTCTAAAAGTTGTCATCATTAAGTGATGTGGCCTAGGGCCTGGCACTCAGCAAGTGCCTCCCACTCGGCAGGCTGTCCTGAGGGACATGCAGGAGTTTGCTAGGGAAGAGGGAGCAGGTCGTGGAAGACGAGGGAACCAGCTGCCAGGGGCAGAGCTGGCATGAGGGTCGTGTGTTGGGGCAGCAGGGCCAGCTCATGTCGCTGAGCTGGCTCAACTGCATACTGAAAGCCCCCATTGGGGTGACACAATCAGGCTAGTGTTTTATTCCCTTCTCCCTGGAAACACCTTGGAATCAGGGATTAGGTAGAGGAGCTGTGGTAGCCGAATCAGGGTAGCTTGGAATCAGGGATTAGGTAGAGGAGCCCAGGGAGGCTGGAACCTGGACCTGGCTATGGTGGCAAGGCTGGAGGGGCAGGGAAGCGAGCAGAGGCTGGAGGGTGCCAGGCAGAACGGGAGAGCCAGGAGCTCAGTAACACCTGCGGGTCCAGTGGGCAGGTGTGTGTCCGAGATGGAAGCCAGGGCTGGCACTGGTGCTGGGGAGGCCCAGGTCGGCTGTGTGGAGGCAGGATGTGGGGGGACTTTGGTGTTGGGCAGGGAGTGCTGAGCCCTGGGTGCACCCACAGGGAGATGTGTGGATCTGCATGGAGCTCATGGACACGTCCCTGGACAAGTTTTACCGGAAAGTGCTGGATAAAAACATGACAATTCCAGAGGACATTCTGGGGGAGATCGCTGTGTCTGTAAGTGGCCCGGACTTCGGTGGGCCGGGGGGTTCCGGGTACATGAGCCGGAGGCTTCAGCCCTGCCCAGCAGGCAGAGTCCAGTCTGATGATGGTATCTTGGGCGGAGCTGGGCCCCAGTGTGGGTATCTGCCCCACTCCTCCACTGCAGACCAGAGCCTTCTTACTGAGGAGACCCCAAGACCTGGGGCCCCTGGAACCCCACAGATTTGGCAGACACTGGGTCTCCATGCCTTTGAGTGCATTTTTAAAAAAGGAACTTAGTATTTACAACTGCCTTATACTGAAAACGCCCCAAGGCAGTTCACAGAATTGCACAAGCTGAGCTGGGACAGGGAGGAGCCTGGGGTGATGAGGGGCTGGGTGCATGAGGGGAGAGGGAGGGGGCTGGGCACGGGGTGGGGGTCTCACTGCGCTGTCATTGTTGATGCAACCAGGAGTAACAACAGTCCTGTCTCTCCCCTCCCCATCCCGGCGCCAGATCGTGAGGGCCCTGGAGCACCTGCACAGCAAGCTGTCTGTGATCCACAGAGGTCAGTCCGACAGCCCGCCAGTGGGGCCGGCCCATGGGAGGGGTCTCTGCCCTGGGACGGGCTGGCTGGCGTTCGTTCCGATGCATAGTTTACAGGTCGTGAAGGGCCCACAGGTTCATGTGTGCATAACCACCCTTGCTGCCGCTGCTGTCACTGCCACTGCTGAGAGGCAGGACGGTCTCTGGGACCCTTCCCTTCCTCCCCCCATTCCCCCGAGGCAGCCACTCGCCTGATTTCTTCCCACAGTACCCTGTTTTGCTGGTTCCTGAACGTGCAGCCTCTCATTGGGCTTAGTGTTCTTGGCTCATCCCAGCTGTGTGTGGTTGTAGTTCGTTCCTTTCTACTGCTGAGTACTAGTCCATTTTATCCAGACTTGCTATTTCTTAAAAAACTAATTAGGCCAAATCCTCTTTGACCACTTGATGCCTGGCCCGGCCCCTGGCCCCAGGTCACTGCATGTTTAGCATGTTTAGCATGGAAACTTCTGGTCCTTTTTTCACACATTGCTAACCTTATCCACATCCTGTAAGAGCATGTGGGCTGCGTGTGTGTCATATGTGTCATGTGCGCGATTGCTTGGAGATTCTCACTGCAAGGCTGTGGAAGGCTCCATGTGTGACCCTGCCACCTGCCTGTAGCGCCTGCACCACTCAGACAAACCGCCCCTCACTGGACCTTGTGTCTGGAGCACGGATGGTGGACCGAGAGGTGGCTCCCTGGGCGAAGTGTCTAGAGTCCTGCCTTCCCCTCAGTGGCAGGGGCTGGGCTGGGGCGCGTCCTGGCTGCCCGTCCCACCATGCTGCATGGCTGTGGGCTAGCGCAGCACCTCTGTGGCCTCAGTTCTGTCGTCTGATTCTCGGGCCGGGTGGAACCTGCGCATTGGGGTGTGGGGGAGGCATGGTGGCGTGTTTGTGCCCGCAAAGTTGGGCTGAGAAAGATGTGTCCTGCCCCTGGCAGACGTGAAACCCTCCAACGTCCTCATCAACCGGCCTCAGTTCTGTCGTCTGATTCTCGGGCCGGGTGGAACCTGCGCATTGGGGTGTGGGGGAGGCATGGTGGCGTGTTTGTGCCCACAAAGGTGGGCTGAGAAAGATGTGTCCTGCCCCTGGCAGACGTGAAACCCTCCAACGTCCTCATCAACAAGGAAGGCCACGTGAAGATGTGTGACTTCGGCATCAGTGGCTACTTGGTGGACTCTGTGGCCAAGACAATGGATGCCGGCTGCAAGCCCTACATGGCTGTGAGTGGTCCCTGTGCCCAGCCCAGGCTCAGGAGAGGACAGGGCCAGGGGAAAGATGTCCAGCCTCGGCCAGTTGGCCATGTCCTCTGTCCATCGGGACAGCCTCCCAGTCTCTGCATTTTCTGCTGCAGGCTGCCCGAGTGGCCCCTTTTTACCTCTGTTAGTAACTGCACCCCTGAAATGCCCCATGTGGGTGATAAGTTGTGTAGACACCCCATATGGAGGAGACTCGTGGTCTGTGCAGGTCCTGCCCCACTCCCTTTGCCCTCCCCTGGGTGGGGGTAGCTGTGAGACAAGGATTAGGCATGACCCCAGCCCTCGCCAGCCTCAGTTTCCTCCTCTGTCACATGGGCAGGTAGGGCAAGATGAGCACTCAGTTTTGGGGTGGGGGTGGCTTGCATATTGGGGAGGGTGTTCTCACCTCACTGGTCCCTCTTGCAGCCCGAGAGAATCAATCCGGAGCTGAACCAGAAGGGCTACAACGTCAAGTCCGACGTCTGGAGTCTTGGCATCACTATGGTACCATCTCGGGCTGGGTCCAGCCCTTGCTGGTCGGGTGGGGCCAGGGTGGGGCCATGTCTGGGGCCGTGAGCTTTTGGGGAGCATATCAAATAGTTTAGGTCCTAGAAAAAAGTGTTTGCTTCAAAATCTGAGAAGAAAATGTGCCATCAAAAATCACCGTCTATTTAAGGGAGTGTTTGTGAGTGACATTATCGCTTCCCTAATTGTTAGGTTTACCCATCATGAAAGATCTGGACATTTTGTGATAAGTCAGCCACTGGACTTCTCCCCCAAACTGTTAGTGCTTGTTGAAAAATCACAGCCGATCCTATATTACGTGAGTTCCTTTCTGGTATGCAAATAATTTAAAAAGCAAAATGGTCAAAACCCTTTCAAAAGTTGTTCACAGCAAGAAGTATGTTGCCTGCAGGGCCCTTGTGCATTTCCGTGGGCTTGGTAGGAAGAGGTGGGTGGGGCTTCTCAGTCCTGCACCTGTGGAGGCTGCAAAGACCCCTAGCTTCAGTGGGGTGGGGGCAGGTGTACTGCCCTGCGGGGCTGAGCTGGGTTGGGGTGCATCTGAAGTCCAGGTGTAGGAATGGGCCTTCAGCCCCTGTTCCTTCTGGAACTGCCTGGCAGAACCCACAACCCTTCCTTTGTCAGGGCTCAGGGAGATGGATAGGTGGAAGTTTGTCTGTTGATTGTGGCACCTGTGTGAAGAATGGAAGGGAGAGATAGGAACACTAGGATGTGTCCCCTCAGCCAGTTCTGGGAAGTTGTGCAGGAGATAAGGGTGCACGGAGGAGTGTCTCCATCATAGCAGCTGCCAGAGTTTGTGAGTCAGTCCAGTGACTTGGCTGTCTGAGTGGTCTTCAGCCCCCACTCTCCATCCCAACCTTTGGGACTAGTAGGATGTGTCCTGTGTGACAGCATTTTCCCTGCCTGGGGGTAGCATTTAGACAAAATCAGTCAGATATATGGTGAGAAGGGGTGTTGGGGTGTTTTCCAACACCAACAACCCATTCTCAGATTCTCCAGACACCCAATCGGGTGTCCTGCAGTTCATTTTGATTCTGGCTCTAACTGCCTGGAGTTAGCGCAAACCCAGAGGTTCAGCGCTCAGTCCCACAAGACTGCCTACTTCACAAGCCAGTCCCAAGTCCCACATCTCCCATACTACAGACTGACCAGCTACAAACTGGGGGTTCCCACGACCCTGCTGTAGTTTGGATAATTTGCTAGAATGGCTCACAAAACTCAGGAAAACACTCTACTTGTATTTACTGGTTTATCATAAAGGACACAACTCAGGGTCAACCAGATGGAAGATATGCAAAGCAAGGGGGCTGTGTGGGGGGTCTGAGGATGTGTTGTGGAGCTCATGTCCTCTTTGGGCAGGCCACCCTCACACGTTCACCAACCCACAAACTCATCAAGCTCCTCCGGGGTTTTTATAGGGCTTAATCTTCAGCCTCCCGCCTTCTGGAGGTTCTAGCCCTGTAATTCCTTGGTTTTTCTGGTGAATGGCCCCACCCTATGTCACCTCATTAGCATAAAATCAGGTGTGATCAAAGGAAGCTCCTTGTAGATAACAAAAGACACTTCTATCAGGCAGGAAATTCCAAGGGTTTTAAGATCTCTATGCCAGGAACAAAAACCAGATATGTTTCTTACTGTGCCACTGGCGTGGAGAAGAGAGTCCAGCGGGTGGGGGGTGGCCCTGGAGATGGGCAGAAGGGCCACCGTTCCAGGCAGGAGGCCAAAAAAGGCCTCTGTGAGGAGGCAAAGGGGACCCTGAGGTAGGTAAGTGACTAGTGTGTGCCTGGGTGGCCGGGTCAGAGGAGATAGGGTGGGAGGGATGGCAAAGAAGTGTCAGTGGAGGGTAGGATCAATGTAGGTGTTTTGTATTTTACTTGATAGTGCTGTTACCATCATCATCATCATCATCATCATCATATAGCTGTAACTTTAATAAAGTGTCTCTGTAGACAATGGGAAAGAATCAAAATCAAAATAATTTTGTCAGAGAGGTAGAATTGGGTGATACTTTCAATTTTCCTTAATACTGTTGATATGCCATTTTTCAATTAAGCTTTTTTCTTTTTGAACTGGAGAGGAATATTTTAAAGTCTGAAGTCAGGTACTATGCCTGCAGATAAGTGTTTTCCAACTCCCAAGTTAGAAAATAAAAAGAACAAGTTTTTATCATATCTACAGACTACACAGAACTGGTTGGATGTCAGAGACCCCACTCGTGAGCACTTACCCTGCTACCTCCTTCTCTCCCTCTGTCATCATTGTTGGGACCCACCATGACCTATTACCTTCTGATGTCTCTGGTGGAACTTTGACAAGTGTGTGCTAAGTACATATTTCAGTTATCAAATTCTGCATAATACACCACCACTCCAGGACCCAGTGCCCTAAACCGACAGTGATTCTTTATTTCTCATGTCTCTGCTGTCGAGGCTGGGCTCAGCTGGATGGTTCTTCTGCTGCGTCTGGCACTGGCTGGGGTCATGCTGGACTGGGCTGGGCTGGATGGTCCAAAAAGACCTTACAGATGCAGAGCTCCTCCATGTGGCCTTTTCCTGTTGGGCTGTGCATTGGGCTTCCTCATGACATAGTGGTGTCAGCATACTTGGAATCCTTTCCTGGTGGCCGGCTTCTGAAAGGGGAGCCCTCTTGAGTGCTAGGCCTGGAACACTGCTGCTACCTCATTGTATTAGAGCGAGTCAGGAGGCTGCCCAGGTGCAAGGGGAGCAGGGCAGGTGTATGGGGGTGGGGTCCACTCTGGAGACCTGCTGCCATGGTGCAGGGTAGCTTTCTCCCACAAGTTACAAAAGTGATGGAAACCCAGTATAAAAACACAGAGGAAAAATAAAGGGAAAATGACCATAATTGTTCTGCTTAACGACACACACCTCTTCTTTCTATTGCCAATGCCAGCATTGTTCATTGTCTTCTAGAATCGCCTTCCAGACTTTTGTATTGCTTTTTTAAAAAACATGTATTTTTTATTTTTCCCTTTTCATTTAGTAGTACATATTGTTCATATTTCTATGAATTGTTACAAACCCCTGTATGCTTGTCCAAAACCTCTGTAAACATCTGTCACCACTTACTCAACCATTCACCTAATGGGCATTTCACTGTTTTTGATTGTTTTCTTGCCATTTGAAACCCTCGGCCATGCGGGGGGAGTGCCTGGTGGAACAGCCAGGCACGACCCTGTGTGGGGGCCACGGCCTTGCTCTCCCACTGTCCTGCGGAGCACCGTGGGAGCCTCTGGGTTGCCTGGCTTATTCCCGCCTACTGCATGCGCCACAGGGCCTGAAAGGAATTACCTAGAAAAGACATGGGGTCATACCTAGGAAGGCTCTTGGCCCCTGATGAACGTTAACCAAGTACTGACCAGGGTAGCGTGTTGCCGGGGTGTCACAGGGGTCCAACCGTCACCGGCTTGGCTGAGGCTCTGGCCCCACAGCAGGGCCCATCCCTGGCACTGGACATTTAGGCTGCTTCTGAATATTTCCTGTGACAGATAACACTGTAATGCACATCTTTTTGGGCACGGGCAGTTTTTATTTTTCATTTTTTGATCTCCTTAGAAAAAAAATGACCAGAAAACTGGTCTCTAGGGTCAAGCCCGTGGCGCACTCAGGAGAGTGCGGTGCTGGGAGCGCAGCGGCGCTCCTGCCGCGGGTTCGGATCCTATATAGGGATGACCGGTGCACTCACAGTGCTCACT